ATACTGGAGTCTTAAATGCGAGTATCTTGGACACAATTCACAGTGATAGCTTTCATCTCAACTGTATTAACTAATACCCCTATTATCCTGTACACTCCAACATTAAATGTAAACTGATTGAAGCAATATTTAACACACAGAAGAGTTTCAACTCCCAACGGAGATAAGTGGGGTAGAACGTGGGACAACGGATACAGGTTTTTCATCTGAGACGCTACTGTTAGCGCCATGGTCTGACAGTCGTTATTTCTTATTTTCATTACCTTCGAATTGATCACCAAGAACCAGCACAAAATGCACAATAGCCTAGCCAAATTTCTACTCTTTCCTACAGCATTGGTATCAGCTAGTGGGGAACACGGTTATTGTTTACCCGTGAGGAAGAAAACCGAAAACCCCATGAAATAAAATAAATATTAATAATTTACATTTAAGTAGTCTCTGAAGGGGTCAAGTTCAATGTCAAAGTCATTCAGTTACCGCACAGCAGCTGGGATTTTAACTTATTCGAATACTTATTCCTGTATCAGAAACTGATATAAGTCAGCTACTTCAACATTGAACGTCAGTGGTTAGGGTGCGTGGTGTATTAGAGGAAACTGGCAAATTCCGTTGGACAGTCAACTTGGTAGACTCCGCTATGGTTTTATTATTTCACAACAGATGAACCATCAATCATCGTCAACATCAAGAAACCGCATATTCAATGGATTTCCGCTAACAGAAGCAAGGACATAAGTGGATATTATATCGGATACGTTGTGTCTGATGTGGAGCACCATCATATTCAATCCCTTGTGAATGAGGCTCAAAACACTAGGCGTTGGGAGGAACAAATGTGATGATGACAGTGTGAGTGTGTTGCATGAGTTTGATCAATACCCGTCAATAAATCTCTGTATTGATCAAAATCCTGATGCAACGAGTTCTTCGTCAAACTTCTTGCTTCCAATGCCTAGCGTTTTTAGTCCCAATTAGGGTTAGGGATATGGTATTACCCTATAACAGACATGTTTTCAATAGTGTTCACTTAGATTTCTGTTCCTATCGGTCGAACACTTCACTCAAGCATAATTTCTTGATTGCCACAACCGTTACTGGCATATCTTTTGTGAACTAGAGAACCTTCATAAAAAATATTTATAAAAATTACTCATTTGCATGACACAGGTATTTTAATTTTAAGTTCCCCATACCCCGTGTACCCTTAGGTCTGTGGTTTCGGTACGGAGTATACTAATTTGGGCGTCAAATCGCGTTTGTCTTTTCCTTTCCCCCAGTGCGACAGATTTTCTCATAGTCTGTCAGTCTGCAGTCACATATTGTTCAGATTAAATTTTGCAGACAAATAATGATGATCATTTACTATTGAGAATACTTGAATTGATCAGATTGAGCCCCCTGATAAAACAGTGATCATTTATAAAAAAAACAATGAATCCCTATGCCACTTCGCACCAAAGATTTTACATAGTTTTGAGCTTTAACGTTTGAACTAGTATCAATTTTATCGTGCTGCGTGCTGCCAAGAGTTAATCAAGAGAACAAACCACATTGTAGTGAGAGATAAAGATGAAGATGAATGCTTTTTACTCATTCCTGTCGATATACAGTTCTGATATTGGAAACTGAAATTTATTTCTAAAATGAGGGTTATATTACACG